TATTTTTAGAGAAATACTTAGGTACTGTCAGAATACCAGCTCAATTAAACTCTGCCCCGTAAAATTACTCCAACTTAGATAATTTTAATCCATGTGTCTGTCTATTATTCTTATTAATTTGTTGTTTGAAAAAACACAAAAATATCTAAGATATTTTGATTTCCATTGCTGTCCCCTCTTTCCTCTTTCTCAATCCTTCTATTCTTGATCTCCGTCTCAATCTCTCTCCCCTCTCTTCGTCACCCGATTTTTCTGTCATTTCTCAGAGACGGTAGCGGCATCTTCCGCATTAGCGACTGTGACCCTTTCTTTTGTATTTATTTCTTATCTTGACCATATGCTATACAGTTTGATTTTTGAATAAATGGTCTCCAACTTTTGTGTTTTATGTTGCATTTCTTGAATTGAATTAAAGATCTTTCCTCAAACAAGTCCAGAAACAAAACATAAATGGTAATTTCCATTCCAGAAGCTGGAACTTGTATGAAAAGAAGGTCGTGAATTATTTTACTTACTGGCTGGAATCTGCAATTGCTTGGAAGGTTATTTGATTTGTATTTCTAAAATTGAAAACAGTAGGATTTAGATTCCATGCCAAAAACTGAACCACCCATGAGCATTGAAGAACCCAGAAATCTAATTTACAGCCAAAACCAAATACAAATATGAAACCATTTTCGAGCACCCATGGACATTGAAAAACCCAGAAAAATGAACAAGGGAGGAGAGAAAAAATCTATTGGTAGTTCAGATCTGCATCGCAAGTGGCAAAGGCAACAATGAAAAAGCAACGGCTTTGTTTTTTTCAGATCTGCAAAGTGGAAAGGTGGAAAAAGACAAACGTGCAGGACTTACAGCCTTTCGTCAGAGCAGGGACGTGTTGGTACTCTGGGTCAATACGTGAGAATTTTTCTGAGATTAAACCTTAGAAAAGGATGGAAATTTCAAAATTTAAAACTCAAGACACCAAGCCCAACACGAGCTGGCATTGTACTGGAGTCAATATAGCAGCTGCACTGTTCATAAGACGGTGAATACAAAGAGGAGCCGACCAATAAAATCGGCTGTTATAATATTATTTTTTAAATTAAGTTTGGTTTTTATCTAAATATCCTTTAATTCATTCTTATGATAATTCTTCTTTTTAACTGGGGGAATCTGGATGGGGAGGAAGCACGTTCGGGGACAGTAAAGAAACGCGGATCGGCAAAGTTGAGTGGGCTCGTTTGGCATCATGTTTGGGCTTCCAAGCCAAACGAGCTTCTCCATTGAACTTCTCTACATGAGCTTGTTTGGATCCACATCTACATAATCTGACTTCTTAAGCTTTGATGGACTTCTGGCAGAAGCTCAATGCAAGGGCTTTTTGAGTTTTTTCTGGAGCACGACGATGTTGAGGTAAAAAACGGTTACATATTTATTACCAACCTGCTGCATGTTTATTTTCTCTCAGCTCAATATTAAAGAGAGTTCGGCTTTACACAACACACACAACACACGATCTGAAGCCTCGCTCACGCTTGCAAGTGCGTGTTGCTTTTTAGTTATTTGATGTATGGCATCTAATTAATTATTTGATGTATCGTGTGTAAAAATACTATGTTTGTATGATTTTTAATTTATATATTTATCCATTACATATATTTAATTAAGTATTTTATTATTTTTCAATTTCTTTCTAATATAACTTAAATTTTTTTAAATTATTTAATTTTTAATACTTCATTTAAAATGGTCATATTATATATATAATTTCTTTCTAATAATAAATTAAATTTCTTTATTTTTAATAATTTTCTCTTCCTTAATTCTTAAAAAATAGTCAAATTAATATGAGATATATATTATTTAATAAAATTCATGTCCTTTTAAGTCATTTTACATGCAAACTTACTTTTATTTTTATCATCCAAACAAGTTTTAACCTTTCAAACTGACTTTTTTGAAAACCCAATCCAAATATAAATCACATAACCCTATCTAACTTTTACTCAATCTGACTTCTGTAAAAGTCAGATTAAAAAAAAAGTTACTACTCCCCCGCCAACCGAAACACACCTACCATGCGACTCTGCAGAGTTTTCGGGTCAATCCGTAAAGTCGTTGTCCTCTATGGATGACGTTCTTCATTTCATTGGTCCACCCTCCTCGCTTTAGACGGTAGTGCGCGGAGTAAACAAGCGTGTTTCACAAATCCGAGTGGGATCCACACGTGATTTTTGACAACGGAAAGTGTCTTCCAGTTGCTACTCTGTTTCTTCCCCGTTCATCGCACATTCACACCAGACAGACCCCAACTCTGTATCATTAGTTAAGAAATTCGGTAAAAAGATATTTGATCATAAGAAATGTGAAGAATAAGTTTCATTTGATCGTAACTCATGAATGATTATGACGAATCGCTATGAATTTTAGTTCATATAGATATATGTTTATATATATATAGGATATAATGAACCGAATATTGGGGACATCATCCATATTATCATTTCACAAATTTGTGTTTTTTGAGCGAAGGAAGGGCTTCATACCGAGAGTTGAGAGTAAAAGAGGGAAGACCTAACAATTTTCGCAATTGTTTCTTTTTCCAAATTTTAGAGTCACAGTTTGAGAAGCAACAGCGTCTTTCGTTTTTTGAAGTTAATTTCATTTAGCAGTAACATTTTAAATTGTTTTGGGGCTTTTAAAATTAATGGGCTTCAGTTATTCTTATTAAAACTTCACTGTTATCCAGATTTCCGAGATTGGATCGTTGTTATTTCTGCATATTCAGCTGCCATCGATGGGCGTTGTGACTTGTGACTTGTGAGAACTGCAAGGGCGAGCCGTACCCTTTTTCTTCAACCATGTGGGCCCTTCATGTACAGTCATTTTTGCAGGTTTCAGATTGCTACTTTCAATTTACTGGATAAAAATAAACCTATAGTTTTAAAAAGAGAGAATTACAATTAGGTCCTATTTAAGAGAATTAAATACAAAAAGATCTCCTAAAATCATGAAATTATTCTGAAGTCTTAATAGACTTTTTTGTGATAAATTTTGTGATTTGTTGAGAAAATATATTTTCAAACAAACCGCGATAGTTGTCAATTCTTGTACTTTAAATTGTCAACCACTGCTCTTTCAGTTGTCAATATAAATTTAAAAGAAAAAAAAAGTAATTTGATAATTAAATAAATAAAATTATCATTAAAAAGTCTCTTAAGATTTCAAAATAATTTCATGATTTCAAAAAAATCTTTTTGTATTTAATTCTCTTGAATGAGACTTAATTAAAATTTTTTGTTTTAAAAATAATCTTAAAATTTATAAAATAAATACGTGGATGTGTTTATTTTGATTTATAAAAAATGTTTTTAAAGAATATCTATAGGCCCATCCAAAACACCCCCTTGCAGCTCATCTCAATTTGCTTTTGGTTATAACGTCTACCATCTGGGGAGGCAGGAGGCGTGTTCTGTTCGGAGACGTGTGGGAGCGTGTAAAGTAGTAAAGTTGTGTGGAAAGTTGTGAATGGAATGGTAAAGTTGACGACGACTCTGAAGAGTCTTTGCACTTTGGGTCAATCGAGAAAGTCCTTGCCCTGGCTATGGTTTAAAGCTATCGTCTTTAGGTATATTTAGATTGATATTACATAAACTAACTTATAACCTAACTGACTTTTATAACTGAAATTGGAGTAAAAATCAGTTAGCATAATGTAATTTATGTTCAGATAGGTGTTTTTAAAAAATCATTTAAAAAAGTTAAAAATTATTTGGATGATTAATAGAAAAATTAGTTTAATTGTAAAATGACTGAAAAAGATATAGAGTAGTATTTGAAATTTTATATTTTTAATGTGATAATAGTTTAAAAAAACACATAAAATTATTGTGATAAAATATAAATATTTTATTTCTGAAATTATAGAATAAAAATATTTGTTACGGAGAAAAATTTGAAAATACATTGTAAATAATTAATTAAATATACATAATGGACAAACATGAATATAAGTTAAAATTTATTTAGTTTTTAATTAAAGTAAATGGAATTACATAATTAATTAGATCGTAAGTTTTATACAATTTTCTCATAAGTCACTTAGAAAAATTGATCTAAATTGCGTTGAATAAATCAGTTAGAAAAGTTATTTTTTTCTATAAGTTAATTAGAAAAGAAACTCCATCCAAACAATCTTCTGACTTATAACAAGCCACAAATTTCGGTTTCACACTTTCTCGTGCGCTTTTACCATTTGCAACGGCAATCCCAACGAGCCCGCCCTTTATCTTCTTCTTGTGGCTCTTGGCGTTCCCCAGCTTACAACTCTTTCTTCTTCAAGTTGCTCACCATTTCAATCCTCTCTCTTATCAACCTTATTTCGCTGTTTCTTCTTCTTCTTGCTCATCGCGTTAGTTTCCTTGTTACTGATTCCTCTCAAACTCTTCATCACCCAGTCTGTGCTCTTCCATTTTCTTTGGCAGTTTCCTTCAACTCGCTGACAATCAAGCTTCTCATTTTCTAAAGTGTTTCCAGTTTTTATGTTCCCTGTGTTTGTTTCCTTGTTCTCAATTTTCTGATCGTGTTTGTTTTTGTTATTTCCCGACGTAAGCTGCGTTTTCCCCAAAAAAAAAATTGTTAATTCTTCTTTTGCATTAAGTTTGGATCCTTTTGGTTAAAAAGAAAAAAAGTTTCTCGTTTTCTAAAGCGATTGCAGTTTTTATGTTTACTATGTCTGTTTACTTGCTCTCAACTTTCTGATCAAGTTTGTTTTGGTGATTTCCAGATATCAGCTACATTTAAAAAACTTGTTATTCTTCTTTTGCATTAAGTTTGTCTCGTTCTTGTCGATCATATGCCCATAATAATGTTTCAAAATTAGAAAGGAAAAAATTTCTTTAGCTTTACCAGTCTTTTAAGTCGGCTACTTTCTTGTCAATCTATCCGTTCTGTAGGACGTTTCGTACTGCTTCCCTGCATTTAAGTCTTTAAATCTGAACTAAATTTAAAAAAAAAAAAACAGAAAAAAGGGAAAAAAAAGAAAAAAAGCTGGTTTGAAGATTTTCTTTTTCTTGCTACTATATTCTTCCGCATCTACTGTTGCTTTTGTTGTGGGCAATAAAAGACTAAGAAGAAGTCTGCAATTTAATGAGAACAAGTTTTGGTGCTTCCTTCATCTGTGCTTTATCTGTCGCAAGAGTGGAGCTGATCGTATAAAGTGATACTGGTAAAATCTTTGTCTCGATGGTTAAATATTTCGGATTTGAATTTGAATGAACAACATGTTTCTTGTTTACTTATTTTCTTTCTCTGGTTTTCAACAACAGAACTTTAGCTGCTGCCTTTCTCACATCTCAAGCTCAGGACGATTAACTTCTCATTCACATTGAGCAAGGTATATAACTTTTGGATTTGATTCTCTTAGAGTATTGTTACGTTTACTGATCGATAAGATCTTTTTTTTTTTTAATCCGTTTGTCCAAAAAAAAAAAAGTCTTCTTCTTGAATAGTTTAAATTTAATACTATTGATGACGAATCATCATTTTTTTAAAGTTGGCGACGAAGAGATTATTTCCATGTCTTGCATATTTTTAAAAATAAAACAATGACAAATTAATCTTTTTAAAAATAATATTGTTAACACTTTGATTTGATGCAATATAATTTATCCATTTATAAATTAGTCCCTATATTTTAGAAAATAGAATTAGAGAAAATTAATTTTCTTTGCCACATGGAGAAAATTAATATTCTAATCTTTATAATTTCATTCAATTTTGTAACCATGGTGTATATCCTTTTAATGAACTCCCTGTACTTTCAGTCTGCGAATCGCCATCATTCTCACTATTTATAACTCCCTGCATATTATTTCCGTTGGCTCTTTTTGGGGGGCCAAAAACATAGGCAAACAGAGGATCCTTATCCTTTTGCTTGTTCAGACATAAGCTATGACTTCAATAAAAAGAATGACAAGGTAAAGAGAAACCATTGAGAGTAGATGACATAAATGAAATAGAAGAGTAAGGAAATCATCGTCAATGTCAACCCTTGAAGAGTATTAGCCCTGAAATTTTGCTATCCAAGACCTAGCACTTTCAATAGAAAGCAGCGATTATGTTAGACTGTAGTGAGAAGGAACGCCACTCACAGACTGAAAGTGCGGGAAGCTAATTAAAAGAATATAAACTATATATGAGACCTAATAATTATAAATTGAATGAAATTATGAAGATTAAAATATTAGTTTTTCTTAATTTTTTTCTAAAATATACAGACTAATTTATAAATGGCTAATTATAGGGACTAAGTTATACCAAATTAAAGTTTAAGGATTGAATTACAATTGAGTTAAAATTATAGAGATTAAGTTTTATCAAGTTAAAGTCTAGAAATGAAGTTACAAATGAGTTAATTAAAATTACAAGGACAAAAGATTAATTTCTCCTAAAAAATGACAATATGTTTCCGCCGGGGGCGTGAGGGTAAGAAATTCACGTCATTCAAATCAAATCACGTCTTTGGCCAAAAAAAAAAAAATCAAATCACGTCCGATTCCTTCTCGGCGAAAAATACCCCATCCCATCCATTTTTTTGTCAAATGGTAGAGAATCTTTTTCAATTGTTTGTTATCTATGTTTTTACTTTATAAATTACAGTAAATTTATTATTTATCTCCCCCCCTGCGTATAGTGACGGATACAGATATAAAATGTTAAAATTATAAAGAAATTAATATATTTAAGCTTTGGTTTAGTAGGTGTAAAATTATAGAGATAGTAGCGGCAAATACTCCAAAATTATACAACATTTGGTTATTTATATAAGAGCTAGATAATTAATTTGTAAATATTAAGAAAAATAGTTAAATTAGTTATTTATAATAAATAAATGTTGTCTATCCTAAAATATTATTGTTTCCATTAGAATAAAAACCCTCTAATATGTGTAGTCATTGTGAGGACTGCCTTGGGGGAAAAAAAGAACAAATATGAAAGATAAAGTATATTAAGGTCTTATGTTTTAAAACAAATTGAATCTTTAACTGATTCTTATATTTAGGATCGGAGGTAGTAATCTCCAAATAAAAATGGTTTGTCACTGCCTATACTATAAAGGTGAAAAACATATTTACCAATTTGATCTTCTAAGAACTTAAGAGTTTCACAGTAACTAAAAGAGGAAAATGGGTAACTACCAAGGCGAGACCTCCATATAGCCACCTTAGGAAGCTCAAAACTTTATAAAAGAATAAATATACTAACCCTGATACTTAAAATAAAAACTAAATGATTAATTTATAAATATTACAAAAAGTAGTTAAGTTAATTATTAATTATTTGCATTAGAATGGAAACCATTGAATCTCTGAGTAGTTCTTATATTTAAGGCTAGAAGTAGTAATTAATATACACTCCTGTATACATAACTAACCGGGCAATAGGTTCCAAACAAAATTCCTTAAAACTAATGACCAAACAGGGGGGGAAGATATTGGGGTCAAAAAAATTTCGTAGAATTTAAGGATCAGGAAATAATTTCCCAAGATATTAAATACTGAGTAAAAAATAAACGACATAAAATATAGAGGGAAAAATGTGCTTCCAAAACGTGTACTACCACAATCATGGAAGCTCTACCTTTTCATTCGCTATCCCTCTTCTACTTTAAACGCTGTTGTGAATGCCACAGGAAATTCATGGAGTGTTGAGTGTTCGTGTGGCTAAGGCCACGGGGGGATTATCTAATATCTATTATTTATTTATTCATTCATTCACTATCTAATAATTATTCTAATATCATTTTATACTAATTAAAACAATTATATTTTTTATATTAAAAATAACAAAATTTAGGAAAAAATCAGTTCATTTATAGTTCCACTTGATTTTTGTTAGGTACTTGTATTTTGTATTAGATCTTTATAGTTTTCTTATTTTTAGCCATTAGTCCAAATACTCATTATCTGTTAATTAGAACTGACATGAATGCCAACTGTAAGACATGTAAGTTTCCCAATAATCCAAAATAAAAAAGTTTTATAAAAAAAATAAAATGAAGAAGCAAAGATTAAGTGAAATTATAAATATCCATGTGAGCCCTAATTAACTAACAAAATTTAATCTGTAATTGAAAAAAATGTAAAGATCTAATAAAAATGTAGGTAATTGATTAAAAATCAAGTGGAACTATGAAGGCTGTTCGATTAATTTCTTCTTGAATTTAATTATTTTTAATTGCAAAATCTAATTATTTTAATTAGGGATAATGTATTCAAATATTCTGAAAGTATTCACGAAAAAGCACCTAACACTTGGAAGGTTTGTTGGACTCTTACATGTCCCAAAAGTTTATTTTCGTGGCATAATAACCTGTCTGTTAATTGGACTATTAAATTACGTAATTTGACCGATATCTTTGACGGAAATTTAATAACGAATAATATATAGTTCAGGGATGAAATGCTATGAAATGAAACTTTCAAGGTATAGAAGAGCTAAAAAAAATTTCAGGTGCTGATGAGTGCTAGATTGTAATATTGTGATAGATAATTACTACCAGTTGCAAGAGTAAGTAATAAAAGTTTTACCATTAACGATCTAGAGTGAATCCAAGTATATCATGATAACACTTATGATCGAACATACAAGGAACTGGTTATTCTCGGAAACTGTATTAATTAATTTCCACTTGGCACTGAAAGTAGTCCTAATAATAACGATGTAAATGCCTCAACCCATGTATATAACATTTGGAAGTGCAAGTAGTAACGGACAGATAAAAGTATCCAAACCCACAACTACAATATCATGATGCAGTAAAGAGAGAAGACATAGTTATTCATGGAAGCTCTACTGGCTGTTTTTTTATACTTAAAATAATTAGTATTTACTGCCAAATTATCACTTGCCCTTCCAACATTTAACGTTCGATATTCTTACCTCAATGATATTCATGGTATTTGCATTTTACGCCATCAAATTGTATTGTCTTTCCTGTGTTAGAATTTGATGCTCTTCAATTAATTCCTTTTCGGCCGGTAAATTATCTGCATTTGGGTAGTTAAATGCCTATCGAAGGGGCTTCTTTGTCTTGGGGTTTATCTACTTATTAGCTACATAACCAATAATGCCATTTTTTCTTGTCATTACAAATATTTCTTCCAACATTCCCTCAATCCCTTCGTTCTCATCCTTGCTTTGTTTATTCAAGTATTAAATTTGCTTGTCATTTTATTCAGGAAGTAAGAATGGACATTCTCATTTCTGTTGGTGCAAAAATAGCGGAACTTACTGTAGAACCCGTTGGAAGGCAAGCGGAATATTTATTATGCTATAGAAACATTCTTAAGGAGCTAAAGGATCAAGTAGAGGAGCTGAAGACAACGAAAGAACGTATCGACCATCAAGTTGACGCTGAAAGAAGAAATGGAAGGGAGATAGAAGGTGATGTGCTAAGATGGCAAGAAAGTGTTACTAAGACTTTAGAAGAAGCACAGCAACTTTGTGAAGATTCAGGTGATGGAAATGCGGGATGCTCCAAATGGTCTTTTCCTAAATTGAAGTCCCGACATCAGCATAGCAGAAAAGCAAAGAAAATGGCAAAAACCATTGTTGAATTGAAAAAAGAGGGGAATTTTGATAAAGGAGTTGGGCGTGTTCCACCTTTAGATATAATAAAAAACTTTCCTCCCCTTAGAGGAAGTGATCAGCTTGAATCAAGAAACTCAGTCAAGAAGGACGTTGTGTTGTCTCTGAAGGACCCTAAGATCAGCAAAATTGGGGTTTATGGGATAAGCGGAGTGGGAAAGACTACTCTTGTGAAAGAAGTTGCCAAACAAGTTAAGGATGAAAAATTGTTTGATGCAGTGGTTATAGTAACTATATCCCAAACAAATCTCGAAAGAATTCAAGATGAGATTGCAGAACAGTTAGGCCTTCATTTAGAAGGGATGACCTCAAGTGGAAGAGCCAACCGCCTGTGTGATAGGATAAAAAACGAGAAAACTGTCCTGATCATACTAGATGATTTATGGGAGAAAATTGATTTGGAGAAGTTAGGAATCCCCTTTTTAGATACACATGGAAAAGTTGATTCAGAAAAGATGGGGGTTCCTCTAAAGGATGATTATAAGGGTTGCAAATTATTATTGACTTCAAGAAGTGAAGATATTTTACAAAAGAATGATGCACAAAAGAACTTCCCCCTTCAAGTTTTGGATGGCAAAGAATCCTGGAGATTGTTTGAAGTTATGGTCGGTGAAGTTAAAGATGCTAAGTGCCAAACTATAGCAACCCAAGTGGCTCAAAGGTGTGCAGGCTTGCCTGTTTTGATAGTCACAATTGCAAAGTCATTAAAGAATAAAGGTTTTTATTATTGGAAAGATACCTTGAACAACCTAAAAAGGGTTGATAACAAAGACGTCCAAGAAACCCTTGTATTAGCTTTGAAATTCAATTTGAATCGGTTGGAAGATGAAGTAAAGAAAGTCTTCTTGCTTTGTGGTGCACTGGGAACATACATAAACATAAGTGACTTGTTGAAATATGCTATTGGTTTGGGTATATTCAAACGTCTAGATACCATTGAGGATGCGAGGAATAGGCTTTATAGAATAACTGATGACTTGAAGTCGTCTTGTTTATTGGTTGATGTTGATGCAAGATTGGGAATGATCAAGATGCATGATAGGGTTCGTGAAGGAGCCGTCTTGATTGCCTCGAAATATGTTTTCACTACATGTGATTCTAAGTTGCAAGATTGGCCAAGAAAGGACATTCTAGAAAGATGTACCCATATTATCTTGGATCGTTGTTACATACAAAAGCTCCCTGAAAGGTTAGATTTTCCCCATCTAACATTTCTCCTAATAGAGAGCAGGGATAATCCGACTTTAGAAATTCCAGATGCCTTTTTTGAGGGGGTACCAAAAATTGAAGCATTAGATTTAACAGGCATGATCATGACTTCATTACCGAAATCTCTCAGGCACTTGACCAAACTCAAAACGTTGTGTTTGGATTATTGCTCTTTGAAAGATATGACTGGAATAGGTGCTCTGATAAATTTAGAAATCCTTAGCTTAATCTCTTCCTCCATGGAAGAGTTCCCAAGTGAAATAGAGCAGTTGACCGGGCTTAGAATGTTGGACTTGAGTAAGTCTAGAATTAAGACAACCCTACCCAATATTTTGTGCAAGTTGACCAAAATAGAGGAATTGTATATGGGCAATGCCATAATTAAGATGGAGGTAGAAAGTTCATGTGAGCAAAAGACAAATGAAAGTCTTCCTAAGCTTGGCCATTTGATTTGCTTGACCACTCTAGAAATTCAAATTAGTGAGGCTTGGCTTTTGCCCAAGGACATACCATTTGATAAGTTAGAGAGATACAAGATTGTTATCGGAGATAAATGGGAATGGTCAAACAACAAAGAGACCTTAAGGTTGCTAAAGGTGAAACTGAATACCAGTATTCGAGGGGAACAAGGGATCAAAACATTGATTGAAAGAGCTGAAGATTTATATTTGGATAAAATAAGTGGCATTTCGAATGTGCTTTTTGAATTGAATGGCGAAGGATTTCCATCGCTAAAGCTTTTGCACATCCAAAATAATGGTGAAATTCAACATATTATCAACTTCGTGAAGAGAAATCAAACTCAAGCTTTGTTTCCAAAATTAGAGACACTAATACTTCAGAATCTCAATAATTTGGTGAAGATATGTCATGGTCCGGTTAGGAATAATTCTTTTGGCCAGCTTAAGTTCGTCAAAGTCAAAAGTTGTGATCAATTAATGTGTCTCTTCTCTGTTTCAGTGGTTAAAGCTTTTTCTCATCTTGTTGAAATTGAAGTTTCAGAATGCAATTCTATAACGAAGATTGTGTCTCTAGAAAATGTAGACAGCGGACAAATTATTGATGATAATATTGAGTTTCTTTCATTGCGCTCTTTGACCCTACAACATTTGCCGGCCATCTACAATTTTCACTCTCACGAGTTGACGTCTCTTTCGAGAACTGAGCAGAGATCGCTGCAGGCTAACACTCCAACACCCTTTTTTAGTGCCAAGGTATATCCTTTAATTGTTTTTTTTTTTTTTGGGTACCCTTATATTGATCAAGATGAGTAACAGGCAACGATGAAACATTTTATCAGCATCATCTGAATTATACATGAATGAAGTTAGGTTTTGGATATCCGTGGTTATTCAAATTTCTCATTATTAACATTATGTCCATTCTATTTTATTGTGTATTTCTTGTATCAAAGTCAACCTTAAACCATTTTCTTTCACAGGTTAAATTTTCTAATCTGGAGACTTTGAAGTTGAGTTCGGTTAACTTGAAAACAATTTGGGATGACAAAACGCCATGTTTGATGGAGAATTTGGCCAACTTGACTGTAGAAGATTGCAGTGGCTTAAAGTATTTGTTCTCGTCTTCTATAATTGGAAGACTATCAAATCTCAAGCAACTTGAAATAAGTAAATGTGATACGATGGAGATGATAGTTGCCATAGACGAGAAGTATGGCTTTGCACCAAGAGAGGTAAATTTAATTTGAACCGAAAAAATTTTATTTGGGTAGTTGCACTCGTTTTTATTAATCATAGTTCGGTTCCATGAAGTTGAAATTCAATGTCAACCCCTCCTTCTATTTTCAAATTATAAATAATTCGATATCACACACACACACACACATCATCCCTAGTCTTTAATATAAGAGCTTGCTTAACTTTTATTTTAGTCTTAAATATAAGATCCCAATCTATTTTGTCTTTCATATTTATCTTTTTTTTTTTCATTGTAGTCTTTGTAATCATGATAGTTTTAATCAGTATACTTGATTAACAAGAATATTTTAGAAAAAAACCACACTTATTTATTACAAATAACTAAGTTAACTAGTTTCCTCAATCTATTTAAATTAATCAATTAGCTTTTATATTGAGGACTAGAGATAGTATTATAGACAGAAAATATGAAATAGCTGCGTGGATTCTGTTTAGATGATTGTTTATTCAATAATACATAAATGAGACGATATTGTCACCAAGCATATAATATTACTCTCTATTCTCTCATTAACTAATAACTAGGCTGGGTTCATTATTAAATTCTTGTTTTAATTTTTTATTATTAATTTACACAATTATTTACTTTGAAGTAGGCAATTTGAATAGCATTCTTTTTTATTTTATTTTTTAGATAAAATTATTGGAATTTTAAAAAATAAACTTTGAAAAATGAGGGTATGTCTTTTTTTTTTTTTTTTTTGGTTACAGGTATGTCTTATATTTTAAATTAAGTGAATTCGTTTTTCCAATTAGAAGAGTGCATCCACACGTGAAGTCAGCACCCTTGTTCCTCTGCGGCAATCTATGGGAACATCTGATCCCTTATTCCTTAATTTATTTTAAAGTTATCCCTTAATCTGAACATCAATAATATTAGTTTATTCTCTCAATTCTCATGTTCTCATTTTAGGGGTTTATTTTAGGTTTTGCATTTGCCAGTTCAGTAACAGCAGCCCTGACCTTACAAATAAATATCAATAATAATAAAAGACATGCAGAATTTAAAGATGATATGGCAACCCATTCTGGCTTCAAATTCTTTGGCCTGCTTTAAAACATTGGAAGTCAAGAGATTTGAAAAAATTAAGGAGATATTTCCCATGTACATATCATGTTTTTGTCGAACATTGTGATAACGATATAAGTGATTGGATACAATGAAGTTACATAAACAATCCAAATTTATTTATTTCTATTGTGACAAATCATCCAGTATTATGCCATATGCGCTAGGAATATTAAGCCCCTTGTCATTCTTTCTTGGCTATTCTTTCCTGGCTAAATGGACTTATGGCCTGCACAAAACCACTTAACACGGACGCACGAACGCCGGAATCAATCACTGACCAAATCTGTATGCTTTCAATTTTTGAAAACTTGTCGAAGTACGTGGCGTGGGCTTGACTTGTTCCAAACAGAGTTTACTTGTTCTTTTGCCAGAAACAGAGTTTACTCAAATTATGCATTTGTTTTTATCAAACTTATCCCAAGTATAGTTTATAACTAACATTACAACTATTGAGTTGATCGCAGGTACTTCTACCCAAACTGGAAACAATCATAATAGAAGACTTGCAAAACTTGGAAACAATATGGCACCCTCTCCTAACTCCGAATTCCATGGGTAGCTTTGAGACGTTGAAAGTGAAAAAGTGTCAGAAAATTCAGCATATATTTCCAATATACATGAACGGAGTATTTGCAACTCTACAGACATTGAAGGTTAAAGACTGCGACTCAGTGCAGGAAATTTTCCAGTTGGGTGCCAATGAAATGTGCAGTGGAGATGACACAACACGGCTCAAGAATATAACCCTGCTTCGATTGCCAAAGCTGAAACAAATTTGGAGCACAGATCGTCAATCTAGTCTTCACTTTAAGAGTCTGCAAGTTGTGCGTGTTGAAGGCTGCGGAGATTTAGAGTACCTTTTTCCATTCTCCATAGCTAAGCACCTGCCTCAACTAGAAGCAATGACAATAAAGAGTGCTGAAAAGATGAAGGAAATTGTTTCCAAGAGAGAAGAACCCTTAGATAATCTCGTCAAATTTGAGTTTAGTCAGCTAACCTCATTGGTGCTTTGGGATTTACAA